AAAGTGTCCGGAGAGCTGGTGGTCGTGTTTGTCTCGCAAAACGTGAAGACAAAGATCATTGGAATCCAGAACATAGATGTGGTTGTCCAGCCTTAACAGGCCTTCGGCATCAATGGACCAGTGGGAATTGGGGAGGTTGGGGGAATGTCAGGGGACGGACCCCAGGTCCCCATGACCCCTCTCTACAGTCCACAGTCTGGCCTGTAAACACAGCCCATCTCAGGGCATAGCTACTGTGGGTAAGAAAGTGAGAAGAAGGTTAACTTCTCACTTTCCCACAGTGGCCCCGATATGGCGAAAACTTCCGGGGATACCCGGAAGTCACATGAAGGGTAGGAACCGGGCCCGGAGCATGCGGCGCGTGGAGCGTGCAGGGCGGAGGCGCACATGCGGGTCCAGGTCCGGGTCCGGACACGGGTCCGGGTCCGGGCTAGTCAGGGTGTGTGCCCTGACAGGGAAGTGAGATGAGAAGAGATTGTGGTATCGGAGGAGAGGGAGGCTAGAATGTCTTGATGGAGAGCCTCTGTGTCGACAAGTACAGCTGCCCAGATTACTGTGGCAGCTAGGAATGTGGCTCGTAAGGACACAGTGAGCTGCTCCAAAGTGAAGACCAGTCGGAAGTTCTGCAGATTGACGCAAGTGTAGTCCATATCCCCTTCTTTGGGATAGACATCCCAGCATCTAGTCAATGCATCTGGTTTTACTCCGAGTCTTCTGGGATGGAATCAGACAGTCATGTGGAACTGGGAGAGGAACTCTGACCAGTGGGCTTGCTGCTGGGTCAAGAGTTTGGTGGTAGATAAATACTTGAGGTTCTTGTGGTCGGTGATGTCGTCGATTGGGGTTCCTGAACCTTCAAGGTAGTGATGCCACGATCGGAACACATCGTGAATGGTGAGCAGTTCCTTATCATGGGTGTCATAATTGAGCTCCGGCGCCGAGAGTGTGCTAGAGTGGAAAGCGATGGGGCGAATCTCTCCATCATCGCAATGGATGGACAGGGTTCCGGAGATCGTGTAATCGGAGGCATCGGTTACCCAATGCATCAGGATGGGAGTGGATGTGAATGCTTCTTTCAGGGTGTTGAAAGCAGAACAACAGTCATCTGAGAATAACCAGGGGGCTCCTTTACATGTGAGGCACCTCAAAGGGACCACAATGTCAGAGTAATGGTGGATGAAACGCCAATAGAAGTTGGCAAAGCCAAGGAAGGACTGGACATCCTTGACTTTATGGGGCTTGGGCCAATCTTGGATGGCTTTAACCTTCTCGATGGACATGGTGAGTCCGGAGGGAGAAAGGCAGTATCTGAGATATTCTGTAGTGTCCATATGAAATTTGCATTTCTTCGGATTGGCATATAGGCCATGTTTGCGGAGTCTCCTAAGAACTTCTTGGACATGCTCCTGATGTGAAGCCATGTCTTCTGAGTAGGTAAGGATGTCGTCTAGGTAGACTACCACAGAAACGTCCAAGAGGTCGGCAAAGATCATGTTGATGAATCGCTGGAAGGCCGCAGGTGCATTTGTAAGACTGAATGGCATGACGAGCCACTCATAGTGTAAGGTTGGTTGAGGTTCCGACCTTGGTGTTGACTCCTGCTATCCTCAAGCTGTCAGGAATTAGGCAGTATAGAGCTGTAATTTCGACAGGGGAGGAGAAGAGTGAAAACCTGTTTCACCCTTCCCCGCAATTTATATACATTGTTTACATCGAGAAATAAAGAGTAATAAACAATGAAAGAAAGAAAGCGTGCACAGCACGCATCACCACACATCCATTCCCTACACATAGGAACCATAGTGCATGCAGAAGGAAGTCTTCCACTCATCGCCTGCCACAATGCAAACCAGGTGGTAAGCATGCCGGAGGTTGAGTTGGGTATAGACAGTGGCATGGCTAGGTGCATCAAGGAGGTCTGAGATGCGGGGAAGTGGATAGTGATCTTTCTTGGTGATCTTGTTCAGCCCTCAGAAGTCAATGCAAAGACAGAGGGATCCATCCTTTTTTGCAGACAAAGAGGACTGGTGCTGCATGAGCGGAAGTAGCAGGACGAATGAACCTGGAGGCTGGGCGTTCATCTAAGAACACCTGGAGAGCCTCGAGTTCTGAAGTAGAGAGGGAATACATAGTTCCTGTTATAAAAATGGGGCCTAATTGGCCCATTTCTATAGCGTTCGGGTGCAGGAGGGGCCGTGACATTGAGAAGATGTTACAATTAATGTAACAGATGTTGTAACAGTGGTGTTTACAATAACATGGACATCGGGTGTTTTGGGTGATAATAGTTGGTTAGGTTGTTATTATATACATGTCACGTGATAATATACTGTACAGAGGCCATAAGAGGCTAAAAATGGGAATTTCCCATTTCCATAACAGTTCCCAAGGGTGGTGAAGTGCCTTCCTCAAGGTCGATCTTCAGGTCATGCTCACGGTGTGGTGCTAGCGTTGAGGCTTTGCTCTTACTGAACACATCTGCAAACTCATGGTACTCCTTCGGAATGGCCGAGAGGTCAACGGAATCAGTGTGGGATGAGGCAGCCCTCAAGTGGCTGTCCTTGGAAGGGATGGTTAGGCTGAAGGATACCAATCCTTCAAGTCAACAAGCCTTTGCAAATGCGGAATGGCTGACGAACTCGATAGATGGTATTGGAGGAATGGGAGCCTGGGGCTGAGGTGCTAGCGGAACATCAGATGGTTGGATGTTGGATGACAGCAGTGGTGCCAGAGATGACGGGGGAGAGCTCGGAGTAACTGTCTTGGTAGGTTTGGAAGTGAGGAACGTAATACTGCTTGAGACCCAGTCAATCAACAGATTGTAGCAGGTAAGCCAGTTGTGTCCTAGGACTAGAGAACAAGATCCATCCAGCAATGTGACAAAGAAAGTCGTGGGGGTGACGTTTCCAGAAGCGAAGTGGAGGGGAATATCAATGGCACAGGTTATGATTGAGTTAGTGCTACCATTGAAAAGGTGTAGTTGTAGACTTCAGAATCACAACGGTGTTGAATATTTTATACAGCACCGTGCCCAATACCTCTTCAACGCTGTCTCTGGCAATCGAAGGCTAGCACAATGTCACTTTCCTTCTCATTTTATTCCCATCCATTCCTCCAGCCCCTTTGGTTACAAAAGTCTAAAAGTATATATTGATACCGCAGTTAATTTATGTTGTGGAGATATTTTGGCCAAGTTGCGAATACAGCATCTGAGTCATTCAACCTGAACAACTGGAAAAGCCTAGTCACAAGCAAGGTCAAGGCTGCGCAGCAGCCATTTCTAGTGGCTAATGGGTTCGTAATAGAGGTAGAGGCTGTCAACTCAACCTTGCCTGGCCTGCGTGACCGTGGGAAACAGGCCATCACGGTCGTTGCGTCCGCATGCTCAAGAACCCGGACTCTGGTTCCACGCTCAACTTTTGTCGGAGGGATGCTCGGCGACTTCAAGTCAGTGGTCACCTCTCAGCCGTTCTCTTTGGGACCACTTACTTTGACTCGATACGCTCCAAATGCGCCTATTGCTCGGCAGAAACCCCATGGGCTTGGGCATGTTACATAAGAAAGTTAACGCTCCTGTCTCGACGGAACGGCGCGCTGGACAGAGCTTCTTTAAATTAGTCTCCGAGTTTCAAGGAGACCAGCAGAGGACATTGAGGACACCTGGGGGCTTTGTCCGGCGTTCCTGATGAAGAGCAAACAGACACAAGTCGGCTACTAGGAGGCTGTCCTTGCGCGGACAACATGTCATTATTGGGGTCACATAATAGGTTTTATATCTCCCTCGCAGGTAAATCCTATAGAAGAACAGACCTGGGCGTCCTAAGGCGGGCGTTTTGAGAAACAGGGCGTAGGCTCGAGGGCGTCGTACTACGCGCATGGCATAATGCTGCCTCGGACTGCCAGATCGGTGGTTCTGCTGGAGTGCCAACAACTGAATGACCAATCATGAACGCTTGAGGCAGTTAGCGGGTTGAAGTTGCGTCTTTCGAACGCTCTATGGCTACAGCAGGAGGCACGAAGTGGAGGGTTGGAAACCTTTCCCCGAGAATTTCGTCCGTGGCCATTGAAGTGGCTGGTCGCTCAAGGGTCACTTGGCTTCCATCGTTAGATCTGGCTTCAGGCATGATTTAGTGGTTTCGCACGGATTTTAGACGCCGCCCATCCGCTGCGGAGTTGAGTCCATACAGACCTGGGTATCCCGTTCCGCCAAGACGTCATCCGCAATTTGATCGCACATATATCGGGAATAACTCGATGATCGACGTTTTCAGGGAGCGCTTATTGCTTACTTAACATGAGCGGAGTTACTATGTATAGCCGCATTTAGTCAGAGTAGTGGACGCTGGGGCCCCTCCCTACCTCTTTGGTGGAATCTGTGCTTTTGTCGCCATGCATGGCTGGTCCGGGTCGTACTCCTGTATACACTCGTGTCAACATGGGGTCCAGCCCCTGCATCACTGAGAAAATCTGGTTGAAAAATCCACTCCTATCCGCACAGCTGATCCATCCTCTGCAGTCGATGAGGGGATTTGGTTGGGAAAGTCCACTCCTGCCGGCATGGCAGGTCTGGTCCCACTCCTGTCAGCGCGGCTGCTCCCACCCTTTCCGTCATTGGTTAGAAAAGTCCTCTCCTGTCAGCATGGCTGATCCGTCATTGAGGGAATTTGGTTGGAAAAGCTCTCTCCTGTCAGCATGGCTCGTCTGGTCCCTGCGACAATTTGGCTAAAACAACTCCACTCCTGTCAGCATGGCCGTCATTGTGAGAGGATTTGGGTAAACAAAAAGCATGGCTGGCCCGGTCCCTGTGGCATTGAGATAATTTATTCAAAAAAGTCTACTCCTATCAGCGTCCCTCGTCTGGCTATTGTACCATTGAGAGAGTTTGGTCCTTCCTGTCGGCATGGCTGGTCCGGCCTCGACCTCTATATCTTGGGGGCTGGTCACCCCGTACAAGTCCCCGCGTGCTCCTCACTCTCGTGCCTCCTGCAGGCTTGCCAAAGATGCTGCTTAAATCAATCTTGGCTCTCCCAACCTTACTCGGTGATCTTCTATCATGGGGGTATTCGCTTAGAGTGCCCGAGCAGCAAACCCTCCAAGTCCATCAGTCACCAAAGCGCGTAGCTGTCATAGGTGCTGGAACGTCAGGTCTCTCGTTCCTCAAAGTCGTCAAAGACTATAAAGAGGAGTATGATCTCGACTGGGACGTCGTCCTGTTCGAGAAACGTCACGATGTAGGCGGCATATGGTAGGTGCAACATCTGTTATCACGAGTTCCTATGTCTTGCTGACCTGTAAGAACTTGACCCCAAAGGCTTAAACAAGAGGAAAAACCTGGACCTGATAGGGCTTCCTCAGGCTGTCTACCGGAGACTCCGCTTTACCCTGGGGTTTCTACGAGCACGCCAAATCCTTATAGTAAGTCAGCGCACTAGCACCTCCGCAGTATGAAACTAACGCGATCGTCTCATCAGATACCCTTCCTGGCCTTCCCTTCCCGCCCGGGTTCGACTTGTATCTCCCGGAGCAGGAGATGTACAACTACCACAGAAATCTCTTCGAGATGGTTCTTAAAAAAGACTTTGAACAAAAAATCAAGTGGCAGCATGAGGTCACTAAGGCTCGCTGGGTCGGTACTGCTGAGAGTGGTCAATGGGAACTAACCATCCAAACGCCGAAAAGCGGCGGATCGGCGCAACGTTTTCGTTCTTCGTTCTCTGCTGCGTGTACCCCGGAGTCGGGAAAGGAGACCATACAAGAGAAATTCGATCATCTCATTGTCGCCGTTGGTCAAACCGCGTACCCTCGAACAGATAAACCCCCTGGAATGGACAAGTGGCTTTCGAAAAATTATGAAAACTCAACGCTTCCGAGGCAAATACAACATTCGATGTACTACATGAGCCCAAAATCTTACGCTGGTCGCACCGTTCTTGTCGCGGGCGCTGGTGGCGCTGGCGAGGATGTTGCACGGGACGTTCGCCGACGCGCTAAAAAGGTACGGGCCCCGTTTCCATTTCCACTTTGTTCGTCATTGTCTCCCATTGTAACTCAGTTTTGTCGGTGATAGGTCTATATTGCACGATCGTCAACGAACCCGTGCCCGCGTGCTAGTGACCCTACCCCAGTGGGTCGATTAACACACTTCGAGGAGGATGCCGTCTGCTTCGACGGGGAAACCGGATGTAAGGACGACGTCGATAGCGTTATTCTCGCAATTGGATACGAAACGAAAATCCCCTTCCTCATGACAGGAGGTGCGCTTATGGAGCATCGAGAGAGTGTGTCATGCGATACCAGCGATATTGACGATCCGAAGCTCTCGACCAACGGCAATTACATACGCCCGCTTTACAAACACACGATGAGTTTAAGCTCCGACTTCCCTCCTGACTCCCTTTTCATCCTTGGGCTACCAAGAGATTTTCCGCCTGCACTGTTAGCCGTTGCCCAGTCAATTTTCGCCACTCGAGTGATCAAGGACAAATCTTTGGTGGACAGAGACGCGCTCTTCCGGGAATTGGTGTATGAAGAGAAACGCCAATGTAGTAAGTGCGAAGGTCAAGAGGAGCGGTGCAAGTTTGATCCATTCCAGCTGGGACATCGACTCGTTGAGGTTGCGGAGCGGGACGAATTCAACGTCCTCATGAACGGTCTGATCGATGTTCTCAAACAGAAATGTGCGACGGAGTTGCCACCATTGCCCGGAACCGGAGATCGGTTCGTCGATGATCGGAGGCTTAGAGTGAATCGTAGGAGTATGATTCCAAGGATCAAATGCTACTGGGACAACCTTGAGGACGATGAGAGGGAGAAGCTTCTTAAGGGGAGGGTGAATGAGGATGCTTGGTTTAAACTAGTTAATGATTTGATAGTCCTTTCCGATCCGATGAATCAGTGCAAAAAAGCAACGGGGGGCATCCAGGATGTTTAGCGTAACACCCCCGCACCTGCATTTGACACGGGGAGAACGCCCCCTTGCTCTTTCTTTTGCCATTATGATCTCGTCCCCATATGTACATAAATGTACTTATACTTGACATATCCATGCATGTGTCCTGAAAGCCCAATGCCATGGACCTTTGAAAATCTTATCCCTCCGGATATTTAGAGTCACTTATAGTATAGCTACTCATCTAGTAAGATGGTAGACGCATTGCAAGGAAAGAAAGATGCTGCAGACGAACATAAAGAGCGGCAGCTAGAGGACCCCGAGGGGTCGGAATATATAATTCCAGCTGTATATACTGGACCAAACGAGTTACTTCAAATTAAACCTCCAACAGCTGAACGTACCTCAGTTAGGCAGTGGCTGGGTAATGAGGATTTGAGTTGTGGGCGGCGCGTTGAGACTTCTATTTCCTTCGTCGTTTTGAACGGGTGGCTAGTGAGACCAGCCAATACAAAAAGAAACTCAAAAAAAACACACCGGAAACCAACAAGGGACAACACACAAAAGTGCAATGCCATGCCTGGGAGGAGGGAAAGACGGTATCAAGACAGATGAAACAGTCGAAGGCCCTCCATTTTCCTGAGTAGTGAGGGCGTCTCAGGGTGACGCAAGAGACGCACTAGGGGCACGATCTTGGAGGGAAGCAAGGCCAGGCCTGATACTCGTACTCTGGTATGGCAGGGGACACATTTCTATCCAAGGATGTCGCACAGGGAAGCAGTTTACAAGTGGCACGCTGGAAGGAAAAGGTCCAATCCTGCCAAGCACAGGGCCTCTGTTAGAACCGGTGAGAACAGATCGAGTGGCCGATATTTTGACCGCGAGGCTTATATTAATGAGCAGCTGGGTTGGGAAACACTGAGAGAGTGTCCCCACAAAATAAGTATCAGAGCAGAATGCGGTTGTGGCTCGAAAACGAGAAACACTATATGGCACATTCAATTTGGTCCGGGCAGTTTTCCCACGTAAGCTCCTATCTTCCAAGCACTATCATGGTTGTTTACAGAGCTTAGCTTGCAAATTTAGTTCTTGTTTCTCGATGAAGTGGATGGTGGATATTTTAATGTCCCTGACAATCCCGGAATTGCTCCGGAACACTGCAGGGAATGTTCAGCTACCTGTTAAAGCTGGAAAGGAAGTCGTCATTTCACCTAAGAGGATAGTTGTCGTGGGCGGTGGTGCCGCTGGAATTAGCTTTTTGAAAGTGGTCCGAGAATTCCAGGAGCAACAGAAGGATTTAAACTGGGATGTTGTACTGTATGAGCAGCGGGATGATATGGGTGGTATATGGTAGGTTCTGCATCTTCTCCCTCCATTCGTTCTCGTCCTTGTCTCAATCCTTCTCCTCCGACAGGTACGAGCAAAAGAACAAGCCCGATCCACCTATACTACCTGAGTCGAGTATCTATCCCCGTTTACGAACAAACACCCCGCACCCTCACAGTCAGTCTCCAGCTCTTCGCGATCTAGGATAATTACTGACACAATGGGAACGCGCAGACACCTACTATAAATTCCCATTTCCCCCTGGTACGGATCTATACCCTATTCACACCAAGCTGCATGAGTACATGAAGTCAGTCACCTCACACTTCAAACTCGAGTCTGCTGTACGCTTGAGACATACGTAACATCTGCCCAATGGGTCGGTAATTCCACACAGGGATACTGGCGCCTTAGAATTGAACGACCAATCACATATCGAGAATCTAGCGATCGGCGTTCTTCCAATCCGTTGGATCAACAGATCGATGCGGCGCATGAAACTATGTTCGAGAATTTCGACCATCTTGTTGTTGCCACTGGTCGGTATCACTTCCCTCACGAAGGGAACTTCCCAGGGAGGGAGACATGGCTGGCACATAGAAATAACTTGTCGAACGGGTCTCGGGACATCCGCCACTCCATTTGGTATGAAGACGCTACTCCGTATGTGAACAAAACCGCTCTCGTGGTCGGAGGCGGCGCGAGTGCCCAAGATATTACCAGGTTTGTAGCTGAGGTAGCGTCAAAGGAAAGAATGCGTTCCTTGAAAATGTCATTTACATATTGCTGATATTTGTCTCGTAGGTGTATCAATCTATATCGAAGAAAAGTATTTACCCACCTGGTGGTGACATAATACGGAAAGCACGGCTTTCCCACTTCACTCGCGATGCGGTCCACTTCGAGGATGGATCGTTTGAAACGGATATCGATTCGGTTATTCTCGCTACCGGCTATGAGCTGAGGGTGCCTTTTCTCGAAGTGGGCGGCTCGCTCATTTACGATCCAACAGTCACGTCACGAAATACGACCCACATACACCCACCCCCGCACCTACCTCTCACCTCCAATGGTCCTTACGTGAGACCGCTTTATAGACATACTATGAGCCTTAGCTCGCAATTCCCACCTACCGCGTTGTTTGTCTTGTCCTTCGCCCGACATCCCCCACCACAAGCAACTGCTGTTGCACAGAGTATATTTGCAACGCGCCTTATCGCCAATCCCGCACTTGTTGATCCTCACAGGATCAAGCTTCTAAGGGAACTTGAAGAATACGAGGAACGGCTGCGTAATATTGGTCTTAATCCCGATGTAAGCGGCCATCGGTTGGTTGATTGGAATCATGACTATCAGGAAAGTAGCAACTTTCAAGAAAGTCTCATTAATTTCCTAATGGAAAGGAACGTTACTCGACTCCCTCTTCGAGGAAGTAATCATACATATGTAGAAGACTGGCGGAGAAGGATGGATACGAATCCTTCGTTGGTTGTCACCAATAAAAACTGGCTAGAACTAGAGGCTCGTGGAGAGACCGAGGCGCTTTTACGAGGGAGGGAAAAGGAGGAAGATTGGATCGAGCTTTTGGACTGTTTGAGGGCCCTGGATGGGACGAAACAACCTACTTGCCAGGCATCAACACCCTTGCAGCCTGCTTACATCTCATCTGGTCATAACAGCTGTGCCGTCGAAAGAAGATAATTTCCGGTTGGAATGGGATGGTCGTTTTATTCAAGGTATTTGTAACCGGCAATGACGTCAACGGGTTCAGGATATATACACCTCAATCTGAAAGTCACTAGGTTCACTTATGCAGTCTTGGGGACAAGTTTCTGTGACGGTGAGAGGTATCTTGTGTTGGGAATTCAACAGCTACTTAGGGCGCTTAGAGTGGCTATGGGCTTAAGGTGGTGTGGCCAGAACTTTATTCAATTGCCGTGCCCCACGCGTCTTGATAATCGCTTGGATCGACCTCAACGCGCTAACATAAACGCCGTGCATTTTACTCGTTCTACGCCCCCCTCAGTGAAGCTGAGGTGTGAGCGACATTCTAATTTGTTATGATTTTTACTAACAAAGTCATGTACGATACTTCGATACTTCGCGATCCAGTCCTTAGCACAGATTTTGAGCCTATATGTCTGCCGAACGACGTTGTTAGGTCTAATCTCAACAATGGACCTGGGTGACTCGCCGTTGAATGGTACCCAACTCTCTCGATCTCTGGGATGTAGTCGATCCCGATCGCCAGACCTCTACGCGCCTGACCCGTCTAGTCTCGGTCTTCCCAGTCTTAATCCTCTCGGTCCTCTACTTCCGCCAAGCCCGATTCAGCTGTAGAATGGGATAGGAAGAACCGAAAAGCCCTTTCCCAAATCAGTCTCGTTGTCGGACACCCCTCTTGCTATCGTTGAAGAGAAGGACACGGGACTTCACAAGTCCTAGCTTGGTGACACTAAGCCCATGGAGCCCCAGATCAATCAAATGCGTGAAATGCGCGCGCAAATGGCCACAGAGATCAAGAGAGTCAACCACCATTCTACAGCGAGTCGCCCATGTACGGTAATTGCGGCCAATCTTTTGATGTTGAGGTCGGACTTGACAACGTCATTGGTAGTGTCGTCAGACAGGTGGGCTCGAAACCTATAATAAGGACTAGATCACGAACCCAGCTCCACGTCAGCGAACTGAGGGACGGGTAAAGTGCGCGATATTTATGTTAGAACGCTGAGGTCCAAGCGCGTAGTGCGTAAGGCCAAAGCTGGCGAAAGTGAATCAAAACGAGCATCAAAGCGCGGCGTAAGGATTGAGCGAAGAAGAATAAAAGAAAGTAATATCCTGAAACCCATAGTGGCCGAAAGCCATAGTTCGCGATCTGGGTACATTGGCAAATGCACAGTTCACTGACGTGAAGCTGAGTTCCCGACATCTTGATTGTGCTTGATAAGTATGCTCAATATCTGTGACCGATGCAGATTCGCTTTCCTTGTGGCTAAATTCGATCTCCTTACTAGCGGGTTATCGGAACTTCCTTGCACACTGACTGCCCACATTTCCAAGTCTCGCGAGGATAAACGACTTCCATTATTGCGGTGCACGTGAAGGCACCATTGTTCAGCTGACGGGTCTCCGCAAGGAGTTTCCCACTCCGCACAGCTGGGGAAATTGCATCCGATATCTAAGGTATAAAGACTTACAACTGATAACGTCTCCGAAACATCCTCAATCCTCATTGACCCTCTGAATACTCAACGATTAATGTCCTCCCTTCCTCCCAGACCTGTGGGTTATTTGATTGCCTATCTTCGCGCCGTGCGTTTGTCTTGGTTCCTGAACTATGGCATGTGTTCAGGATCGTGCCGGCAATGCCGCTTCAACGCTAAATCGCTTTGCGAAGCGCGACCCCCAGCTTTATCCGGCAAGTGACAGGATGTATGTCTCTCATGGAATCTGACCTATTAATGGGGCCCTGTAGTTATTCGGTATCATGCTCGGAGTTCTGGGTGTAGCTGGATACTTCATGGCCAACAAGGGAGCCAAAGAGCACGCCAATCCGAATCGCAATCTTCGTCAAACTTCGAAATCTGAGAAACAAAAAGTATTTGGTGCAAAGACCCAGGACTGGAAGGAGCATTACCGAAGGACGCGCGGTGAAGAAGGCGCTGACCTGGAATAATTCATTCAGTTGCACTTGGTTCAAAAGTCAGTCATTGTTTTCGACGTACTCAGGTGTTCACGCTGAGGACACCAATTCGCAGACTCAGCTTTCCCAAATGTTGTGAAATTTTTAATGTCTGTCGACGCTTGTAAGACATCTGTAGCATATTCTGGTTGTCCAATCTTGTAGTAGTAGTCAACTTTACCGGTAATGGAGTGTGTTATACACGCCAGTGGATGTCGGGCCATATGACGTCATTGATAATTTCTAACCCTCAAAACTCGGGTACACTAGCTCCAGACGCATCCACGAGCAATGACGACTGGGTACGAGTCTGGGCACGTTCTACTTATGAACCCAGCCGCTGCCTTGCTCAGTGAACTTCTATCCTGGGGATATTCGCTTAGAGTGCCCGAGCAACAAACCCTCCGAGTCCATCGGTCACCAAAGCGCGTAGCTGTCATTGGTGCCGGAACATCAGGTCTCTCGTTCCTCAAAGTCGTCAAAGACTATAAAAGGGGGTATGATCTCGACTGGGACATCGTCCTGTTTGAGAAACGTCACGATGTAGGCGACCATAAAAAGAGAGCGAGCTCAAAGAAGACTTTGAACAAAAAATCAAATGGCAGCCTAAGGCTCGCTGCCCATTGAAAAAAAAAGGTCGTTCAACAAGCTTCCACCTCATTCAATGTTCCTCAATTTTGGCGACTTCCGCCTTGACATACGCAACAATCTCCTGCATCTTGTTGAATCCAGCCGGAGACAGGATGTCTAAATCCCACCCCCCCTCCAAGAAGTCGGGTGGCAAAACACAGGGGCGGTCGACAAAGCGAGGTGTAATATTGCCCGTGTCCCTGTGGCCACAATAAACACGAAGGGAAGTACCGAGCAGGCTCAACCCATACAGGCGAGGAATAGGGCAATGGCGAAGCAACTCATCGTACCGTTGGCGTATCTGGGCATCCGCCTTCAGGCGTGTACTAAGCCCATCGGATCTGTCGTCTTTGATCTCCGCAATGAGAACTGGCTTCTGTTGTGCAGTGGTAATCACATAAAAGACAACAAAATCTACCGGATCATGCACAAGAATTTCATCGAGGGTGGACTGCGGGCAAAGGAGGAGGGTGAAGGACTCTTTAGTGAGAGAGTAATTAAGTAGCGTGTTATAAGGCCCAGGATAGCGAGATCGGTGGGACCCGTTTTGTTGACGAACGACTTCGAAGAAGTTGAGTAAAAATTCTGGCCAGCTTGTGTCGGTGGAAAAAGGCATGATCCTAACATGCTTGCATCAGTAGCGACACACCGAGCTGCAAGTTAAGGGTTATACCAAGTACGGGGAAGTGGACGAGAAAGGTGACAGCCGCAGCAAGGAACACGTGAATCCGTTGTTTGCCCCCGTGCTTCCCACACTGTAGTTATGTCCTTAACAATCTGATTATTATATGAGATCGATATTCATTCTGGATCACTGATGCCTGAGATTGCAGCTATCTGCCATGGTTTGTGAAATCGACGTCCGGCCGAAGGTAGTTCTCAATTTTTTAATGTCTGTCGACGCTTGTGAGGCATCTGCAGCATATTCTACGTATGCCCCATATGACGTCATTGACATTTTTTTTAACCCTCAAAGCTCGGGCACGCGTCCACGACCGAGCGTTGGCCGGTTGCGAGTTGCTTCGCGCTTGGCTTTACGCTTTCTCACGTTCGTACCCAACCACATCGGCAGCATGCGCAAAAAGCTACGAACGAGCTCCTCCGACTGGTACGAGTCTGCATCGGCAGGTACCGCCAAAATCAACCTCCGAATTGGAGTCCAAAAGTTCGCCTCGTGCCCTCGCTCTCTCGCTCTTTGTATAGGTTTTTTGCGTTGTGCATCTACTTACACTGCTTAATTACCTGGCACTCTTCAATTTGAATTGCTACTGCATATCGGACCGCCATAGATGGACACCGAGTTTGGTGTGTGTGAGTGCAGGCATGGTCTCAGATAAGTGTGGGGAAGCCTCCTTTTCCGCTAGGCTCTTAAAAGACCTTATTCGCACTTCTTGCTAGATAATAATGACGGCATAACAATATTTGATATCACAGACCCTTCCAATCCACGCTGCTGCTTCGTCGCTACTGTTAACGATGGGTCATTCCTTGGTGACATCAATACATTCATGCCTCTCACTGGGGAATCTTTTATTATTTATCCGAGGGGGAGGAAGTGGTTGCCGCTATTGAGTCAATCAAACAGTCCCGTACGAACGTTGTTGGCCAGGCGAGTTTCGTGGGAGCATTCTGGGCAGATTTGAAGGAGGATTAGGCGAGCAACCACAGCGGACCGTTCCCTCCCTCTTTCTTTATGTCCTCATGAAGCTTCCACACATGGAATTGGCACAGGTCCCAGAGCACTTAGTCAGGGCTTGTGCCGAAATTGCAGACACCCACAATCCATTTCCCGAGCCACTCATCCAACGCCTGCTATCAGTTGTCAAGGAGGGAGTGCCCGATCTTAGCAACGTCTCAATTACACTCATAGAAGTCATTCAAGCGGTCCGTGACATCCCTGTTTTGGTACAAAATACTCGTTATCTCAACCTCTCGACCTGGATGAATCCAGAGGGAGGATTGGTAAAGCCCGCTGATCTTGTGGCATTGGGGCGATGCTTCCCGCAGCTCCTCTGCGTAAATGCCATAGGGATTCAGCATTTCGATTCTACCTTAGTCTCAGGATGGTACGGAAGCGATCGTCCCTCATTTTCCATACTTCGATACGAGAAGATGTGTGACTGTAAGTCGGTCGCCGCGGACCTTGCCTACCGCCGAGCCCACACAGCGTGGGGCACAGCCAGTTGCTACGAGCTTTTGAGACTTTATAAGGTCCAGGCGTCTCATCCGCCCCCATTTCGCATTTTTATTCGGTCACATTCGTTTCGGAACGGTGATTCTGTCCTGCGGTTTGGACAGCCATTTGTTCCCTCGGGGTCATCGATATTGCATATCATCTATAACCTTTTAAGGTTAGGCTGTGCGGATATGGCCGTTTGTGATCTAGAGTGGAGTTGCATCATTGGGTCAACCCTGGCCACCGTGGATAATTCCACGATTCCAGTTCTGATGCCTGCTAGGATTGTCGATCACACACTTTCACCGACTGGTTGGACACTTGTGATGAATGGCCCACCGTGGGGAGAAAATTCGCCGTCAAGCCGTCCATGTATGCACCGTGCTTTCGCACATTATGCTTCCGAAGCTGGCGAGCCCGAAGTTATGGGATTTGATGACTTTCTGTCATCACTTGATGTCGGCAAAGTGACCGACTCAGAGACGCTGAGAGTCGTCTCGGATATTCAAAAAATTTTTAAATCGATGGAATTACTTACAAGAAATCAAGTGAAGAGTCTCCTTGCTCTTCCAAATTCGCAATGGAAGGGAGCAATGCCTTCCATGGCTATTGTCTGTATTCCAACATCAAACGCCTGATTTTTTTCTATATCAGTCTCCCCCTTCTCCGTTGTATCATGTCCCTTGGGGTGTACGCACGTATGTGCCATATTTTTCTTTCAACTTTTGACAATGTAGTCATGAATGGGATACTTCAAGCGCGCTCAGTAGCCTTTTGGGCCAGGAGGATAAGGTAACTTTGCTGGAATAGCTAAATGATGACAAAAGCCACCCAAGAACTTGATGGAGTGCCAATGGCACGCCGCTATATACATCTCAAATGAGGAGATATGGTGTGTCAGGAGGTTGGCCCGATATAGAGGGATGCTCTCTGCACGAAGGGTCGATGATGGATAAGCAAACCAAAAGCCTAGCCCACAATGTCCGAATGACCACATGGTGAGCTCATACGAACTACCGGAACGGCCCTCCATATATCAGTTTAGTCTTTGAACCTCGCGAAGAAGACTACCGAATGTGTACAACTCCATTCCCCTGGAGGGAGGTGCTCACTCCGCAAAGTTACGCGCGCCCTAGGAGCTAGCGTGCGGCGTGGTGATCTGCTCAGGAAACGCCTGCTCCCTAATGACCGTGCTCCGAATCAGCATGGCCGGAACCGCGCCGCGAGGTAACGAAGGACTTCCGGTCAACTGACCACAGATAATCCGACCTCCAATCTTTTTAGGGCAACGCTGGCCTGTAGCCGTACTATGCTGGCTATCTCTCCTGGTCCTGATGTCCAACAATCTCCTGCCCCTCAACCACATAGGTATCATGCAAAGGGGGATGCATGGCCTTGCCGATTCGAAAAAAAACTGACAAGGTCTATTCTTCACTCGATCCGAATAACCTTTTGATGCGCCAGCAGCTTTCATAGGCAACCCAAGCAAACATCGATGCAGGAATGAATGGACTTCACAGACTCGAAGCATTTTCCATCGAACAGGTGCTACAGACTGTTCTTCCCGGGTAAGACCCGAGTTACCACTGTGGGGAACGCGCCTTAATTCCTGGTGTTATACTCATGCAGGGGTGACGTCATAAGGGTCCAGAATACAAATACTTTCGTCTCGTTGGAGCAAGTACACGTGCGGAGCATGGGGATCATGCAGTCAAGTACGTCTCACTCGGTAGGAATAACCACATCCGATACAATCGCCGCATGCTGGGCAGAAAGTGGCTCAAGATGATATGGCGTTGGAAGGATTCCCCTATCAATCGTTTTGACAACAAATTATTAAGGATTCATCATGCCAATTGGACAACTAGGATTACACCTACCGGACCATCCCTCCAGTATATTCTGCGGTGGGCAGGATATCCTTCCCATCCGAATCCTTTGCTGGAATGGCACGAGTTGTAGCGAGAAGCGTGACAATGGTGAACCAGACCATCGAATCCGCAAAGTAGATTCCGGGGCATTTCCTAGGCGGAACGGACAGATCTTAGAGTTGTGATTGTCAACATTTAGGAATAAGAGTGCTCCACCTTCGTCCGTACCCAAAAACATATGTTGTAGGATCAAGTGGTGCCTTTCCATCCCCAACGGTGAATTGGAAGGTGGGAGGATCCAAGAAGCGTTCAGGAATGAAGGATTCTGAGTTGGGGTACAGCTCCTCGTCTCGCGTTATGTGCCTGCAGGGATATAAGTGGAGCAAGTATTCCCAAAACTGCTTGCGCGTACCAGGAGTTGGCGATGACAGTTGTATCCTATCATGGGCATGAGGGGTCAATGCTCGTCGATCCACGCAATAGAACAGCTAGAAAGCTTACCTTAGGGATAAAGTACCCTTTTTTGCAGCACTACTAGGTCAATACCAACCCTGTTATCATCGTGGCCACTTACCCTCATATTCAACGCTCTCTGAAGATCGGTATGGGAGGGAAGGCGGCACCGCAGGCTGCCATCGCAATGTTTCTTTCAACACAGCTTCGACGTACGGAAGATACTCTCGGCTTGAGTTAACGAATTAGAAACCTATACGTGGAGAAGTGGGATCGGTGCTGACTCCGAAAATGTAGGCAATCTATGGCGTCCGATTACAGCTTCGATCTCCTGTTGGGCCCGCTTCTGAGCCTCTGGATTAAGGATCATAGCGCGGATGAAAGTCCCAACAGTAGTCGCAGTAGTGTCCACAGAGGCAACCACTGGAAAGGCGTGAAAATGAACCCGGGCATTCCGAAGAAAGCGATTTACCAAGAGCTGCCGAGAGACTCTTGAGGTCTTCGTGATCCGCTTCCAACCCTATACTTCTCAAGATGTTGGCTGTGAAGGATGTATTGTTTGCGCCTTCCAGCTGGAGGGCAGGTATTGTCGTGTAGGAATATCACTGTGGGAAGCGAGGCGATTCAAGTGAGGCGACGTACAACATCTTGCTTGGTTACTTTGAATGGTAATTCCTGAGAATCGTGGGCAATCTTGGCCCAAATCTTTGCTTGACGTTTGAAACCAGCGAACGGGAACCAAGATGGAACGTACTTCACTGAAACCCGATTGATATATATGGTAGAAAGAGTGTTCCAGTTGAATCTCACATGTGGGGAATGCGTCAATGAGGAAAGCTCCAGGTTGGCTTGCTTCGCCGAAAGTAGAGGCCGCGCTGCCCATCATTTTGACGAACTTGATTCATGAGTAGCCGAGTGTTAAAATTGCAAGGTGGTAAATGGGAAATATACTGACGGGGTCTTCAGGGGATGTAGGGGCAATCCCATACAATGATTCAAGCATAATCTTCGACACCGTGCTTAATACAGAACCATTGAGACAGAATCCATAGTACAAGGGAAAAGATGGCCTCACAATTTGAAAATGCTGTCGAAGCTGACCGGCACTGCCCAGCATGGTCCCAAAAGCTTGTGCACCGATTTTTCAATCACCGGAAGGAAGCCTTGGACGGCAGACTTCCCGAGGTGATGATTGGCTGATTTCCGCATCCATGTAAATCGACTACCTTGGTTGGCCAGCCCAAAAGTTTTCTCCCAGCCAACCCTAGTGCGAAGTGTAAGCGCTCTTTAACAGCCAAGGAAATGCATATCCTCTTACAGTTCGCCGCACATCGTCAATTTAGGACGATTGGCAAATATCGCAGCTTTGTTGATGACGAGATCTTGAATCGCCTTGCGAGAATTCAAAATGAGTATGGGTTGTCCCATGGCGGACAAATACACAATGTCCCCTATACATTAGTCTCCTATTAGAAGGCTTCAACCAATAGTGTAGGGTACGTGCCATATTTTTCTTTCAATTTCTGATAATACAGCCATGAATGGGATACCTCAAGTTCGGCAGCATTTCCGATGATTGGATAGCCTTTAGGACCAGGAGGATAAGGTAACTTCCTTTTGTTTGTCTGTTGGAATAGCCAGAAGATAGCAAAGCCCAAACCGAGGAACAAGAGATGGTACATCTCGAACGAGGGGGTACTGGGAGCTGGAGAGCAGAGGCCCAATATATGGAGGGATCTGTCCTTCTATCTATGATGGCCACATGATCCCGGGGCGCATATACTCAAAACCCGGATAACCCACGAGGCTGGTCTTCGAATTCCCTGAATAAGAGATTGGATTAGTTCCGCCCCTGAAGGGCTTGCTTCGCATCAGGCGTCTCCCGAAAGCCAGCATATGGCCGCATGGCAACACGCTAGGAAGCGTATCGATGGTACTCCAAATCGACATAGAACCGGCGGCGAGGCAAAGGCGAATTCCCAATCAGCTAACCAGAGGGGATCTTTCCACTCCTGTCAATAGTTTCGGACAACACTAGGAACTAGGAGCATTATCTCCCGGCCCAAGTATCCGACAATCACTCTGACCCCATGACGCTCTTCTCCACTCGTGAGACGAACGCCCACTCAGCCCACTGAAGGTCTGTCCTTCCGTCCGAATATCCTTTTTTCATATCTCAGCGGTTTTCATGGGCAACTCGAATCACGGACCCCAAGCAGCTCAGACCGCACTACGAGCGCAGCCACGCCTTCACCCCACCAAGGACTTTGATTCACTGTCCGGAAAGGCATTCGGCCGCCTTGCGTGACCCCCGGACAGCACTAAACCGATTCCTCCTAGGTGGGCTGCCGCTTGTGGGCAACCTTAATGCCCAGTGTCCCTTGCGTCTGATCACGGAGGAATGACATCATAAGAGGGCCACAAATAGATACCAACAATGGGAAGATAATATCGCTTGCAGCGTGCTTGAGGCCTGGAGGGACCGATGGACAATCTCACCAAACCCGCGCAGCCCATGCTTCCACACAGCAAACCGCAAAACCTTTAGCAGAGTTATTCCAGTTCTGCACCGGCCGCGCCCACATCGGCGAGCACCCTCACGCAGGAGACAGAGTGTGCCTGCGCACTTGAGACCCAAACAAGAGAACATATCTTACAGGTGTGTCCGAAGTTCAAGAAATGCAGACATATACTGAACCGTGGCTCCCAAACCAGGTTCAGCGCCCTCATGGGGGCATTCTGAGACTGGATCAATTCCTCAAGAAATCCCGTGCGACCGACCCCGGAAGCCAACCCCACCACGCACCAAGGACGGACAGCAACCAGGAGAGAAGGGAGGAGCTGGGCGGAGCTGGGCGGGACACATCCCACCTGACATTATCCAACACGCGGATCCCCCACACCCGACTACACCGACCAGAAAACCCATCATGTATTGACGATGTGGTGAGAAGGGTCCATAGCCGCACTGCCACGTGACAACGAACAAGAGATTCGAAAACAAAACCAAAAAAAAAACAATGCACTTCGTCTCATGGGATTACATCTTACTCGGCGGGAGTGACTAAATCCGATACAATTGTCGCATGCTTGGCAGAAAGTGGTTCAAGATGATACGGCGTTGGAAGAATCTCCCTATCAAGGTATTAGGCATCTGTCATGTTGATTCGACAATGTTGCACATACCGGACCATCCCTCCTGTATATTCCATCGTCGGCAAGATATCCTTCCCACTCGAATCTTTTGCAGGCAAAATACGAGTTGTAGCGAGAAGCGTAACGATGGTGAACCAGAGCATCGAATCGGCAAAGTACATCCCAGGACATTTCCTAGTTGGATGGGCAAATCTTAGACTTGTGATCGTCAAAACTTAGGAATAAGCGTGTTGCACCTTCGCCCGTACCCAAAGGCATATGTCGTAGGATCAAGTGGTGTCTTTCCATCTTCAGCGGCGAATTGGAAGGTGGGAGAGTCCAAGAAACGTTCAGGAATGAAGGATTCTGGGTCACGATGCAGGGTCTCATCTCGCGTTATATGCCTGCAGGGTCGTAAGTAGAGCAATTATTCCTAACATAGCTTGCGCGTACCAGGAGTTCGCGATAACAATTGTGTTCTATCGAGTTGTGCGAGGGGTTAATACTCCAACGGCGCAGTGGAGAGGCTTACCTTTGGGATTAAGTATCCTTTTTTGCCGCGCTACTAGATTAGCCCCAACCTTACCGTATTTGTAGCCACACTTACCCTCATATTCAACGTCCTCCGAAGATCGGTACGGGATGGCAGTTGGCACGATGGGCTGCCATCGTAATGTTTCTTTCAAGATAGCTTCAACGTATGGAAGGCTCTCTCGGCTTGAAAAAAGTAGCATCGAGTTGGCCAATTAGAAACTTAGACATAGAGAAAAAGATTCGGTACTGACTCAGAAAATGTAGGTAATCTACTACATCCTATCACAGATTCAATCTCTTGTTGGGCCCGCTTCTGGGCCTCTGGATTAAGGATCATAGCGCGGATGAAAGTCCCAATTGTAGATGCCGTAGTGTCCACAGAACCACCCGCTGGAAGGGTTGGGAAGAGGAATACTGTGTGTATCTTGACGAAGATATCGGAGGGAGACTTACCGAGAGCTGCTGAGAGGAATTTGAGATCTTCGTGATCTACTCCTAACCCTATATCCCTCAGGATGTTGGCCGTAAAGGACGTGTTGCTTGCTCCTTCAAGCTGAAGAGCAGGCATTAATCATCAAGTGGGAGAAAGGTGCGAGACGACATACAACATCTCTCTCCGTTGTTTTGAATGGTAATTCCACGAAGTCGTGAACGGACTTGGCCCAAATCTTTGCTTGACGTTTGAATCCGGCGAATGGGAACCAAGATGGAACATGCTTTACTGAAACTTGATTAGTGTACACGGTAGCAGTCTTATTCCTGTTAAATCTCACATATGGGAAATGTGTCGACAAGGAACGCTCCGGGCTGGCTCGAATCACCGAAAATATGCGCCGCGCCGCTCAACAGTTTGACGAACTTGATTCATGGACAACCAAGTGTTAGAACCTTAACGAAATAAGTAGGAATTATACAGACCTGGTCTTCAGGTGACTTAGGAGTAATCCCATACAGAGACTCAAGTATAATCTTCGACACGGTGCTTAATGCGGAACTGTTGAGACAAAGGGAAAGAGGGAAAGAGCTACGCACAACTTGAAGATTTTCTCAAAGCTGCCTGGCGATGCCCAGCATGGCCCCAAAAACTCGTGCACTGATTTTTCAATTACCGGGAGAAAGTTTTGCATGGCGGACTTCCCTAGGTATTGGTTGGCTAACTTGCGCATCTGTGTGAACCGATGGCCCTGATTAGTCAGTCCAATAATTTTCTCCCAGCCAACCCTGCGAAACGTAGGCGCTCAACAGGACGGTCAAGAAAAGGACATATATTCTCTTACAGTTCGCCGGCCATCGTCAATTTGGGACGATTGGCAAATATCGCAGCTTTATTGATGACAAGATCTTGAATGGCTTTGCGAGAGTTCAAAATGAGCATGGGTTGTCCCATGGCGGACAAATAGACAACGTCCCCTATACGTTAATTCCTTTCGGCTCTATCACAAGAGTTTAAACCAATGGCGTAAGGTACGTGCCATATTTTTCTTTTAACTTCTGATAATACAGCCATGAATAAGATACTTCGAGTTCGGCAGCATTCCCGATGATTGGATAGCCACTAGGACCGGGGGGAAGGGGTAACTTGCTTTTGTTCTTCTGCTGGAATAGCCAGATGATAGCAAGAGTCGCACCAAGGAGGAAGAGATGATACATCCTAAGCGAGGGGTTAGGATGGAAAAGTACCCAACGGTCTAATATATAGAGGGATTCGTCCCGTGCGCTGGATATATGATTATCAAGCGAGTAAAGGACCAAAGTCGATCTAGTTAATGATCGGGCTCATACGGAGTGCCCGAATAAGCCCATCAACTGGACAGGGTCGGATACCCTGCCGACAAGCTGGTATTCCTGTTCCACTTGCTCCATGCCCATGGCAATAACCCAGTGGCTCAGCAGTATAGTAACTCAGCAACGTGCAGCCCCTTATCTCTATGGAAGAGGATTTACGGAAAGTTCAAAAACACCCCCAGTGAGGCACGAACGTCCTCGTACTTATTATGTTGGAGAGTCGGTCATCCGACTGTCAATATTGACAGCGATGGACATTGTAATTATTCTAATATCACCACAATTATTGGGGTTCAGACCCTCATTCTCTTTATTATACGGCGTAGTCGCCCCTGGCGTATTCGGGTATAAAGAGAGCAAATTTTTCACTCCCTCTCCCTCAGATCTCTTGTACGAGTCTGAGGTGGGAATTTCCTGTATCGTATTGAGAATCGTTCTAAATGTATTTATTGGTGCAATTTAACGCGCCGTAGCCCTTTTACATTTTAAAAATATGCCAAGTCCCAAATGGCCCTGATTATCAGTTGTGCCGTTGAGCAAGAGAGACGTCGCCTGGCAAGATTTGCCAGAAACCGATGCCATTGAGGTCCTAGTATCGGGTTGTGGTCATTGATCCGAGGTTGAAGCACTAGCTAGCACCGTTTATTCACGAGTGCACGCTTCAAGGGCATTTGCCCTGTATGGGTGATGAGGCAAGCTAGAGTGGCATTGTCGTATCAAACCGGACATTAAAAACATGTGGCCCGAAAGCTCGGCCAAACATTCTTCAAGGCTATTCCGCCCGGAGAACTTCGCTGTGGACGCCACCTTTTTGGTATGGGAGTAGGCAGGTGACTAGCCTCTGATATTAATAGTATGGGAGTCCTGAAGCCCCGCCAATCGAATGGTAAGTAGGACGGGTTATGCGATGCGAGTGGATGAGTCGACCATCCTGTCACGCGTCACGGCAGCCGTTGCTTTCAAGTAAAATTTAAGTGCCGATTACCCAGCTGGTTATTGCTCTCAGGCCGTTCAGTTCATTACCTGGTTTGTAATAGGAGGGCTAAAGCGGGAGCTCAGTCTCCGTTAATGAAGAACTGAATTACTACGGTTAATACTAACCTAAAGCGGGAGCTATAGTACAGAAGAGTACAGAGTAAGTAATGTAACAACTAACTAAAAACAATGATACTAACCTCAGTCTCCGTTAATGAAGAACTGAGGAGAAAAGGAAAGTAGACCCAAACAATTACCTATATACAATGCAGTCACGGTATCAATACAACGGAAACGAAAAGTAAGATCATGTGAGTTTGGTTAGTGAGTCACGCATCGTTGTAACTCCAACAGTTTGTTCCTCCTGAAAGAATCTGATATGTCCGGCCTTGGTAATGATGAGTGCATTGCCATTCTCACCCTCCCCATTCTTGCTCACGTCTCTATTTCCTCTGAGCAGATATGTACAACGACCGACTCTGTCCATCACCACAGAGCCCCCCACTATTTTTTTTAGTATCAGTAGAAGTCCTCTCTATAATACTCCATTTCGTCACACCCCACCATTGTATGCACAGAGACATGACATGAATCAGGGTCGTAGAAACGCACTGTCCAAGTCCCACTCTCCTCCATCACCTAGTATGCACCCGTGCATATTTGGGTCCTCTTTCTGACACTTCAGAAGTATGGCCCATCTGTCCGAACAATTATTTATCCCTCCTCAGCTAGCTAAGAACTAACCAAGGAACATCGACTACTTTGTCGATGCCTCGATGCATGCACAGGATTGCACGGCCTTGAAGTATATGGGTACTATCATGTCATTTTCAAAATATTAATATTCAAAGAAAGAGATATGGATCAACCCTTGCCTCAGCCTCTTTCCTGTCGTTCCGATACCATCCTTGCCCTGGGCTCCGGGATACTTCATATGACTTGGTCCTCCACTTCGTCAGGTTGCCTCCAGTCTTGAACACCTTCGAGTATGTTTGCGGTCAACTACCTGCTTGTGGTCCGAATCCAACCTTTCTGCACTCAAATTGCAGCAATCCGTAGAACTGATTGGATGAGACATGACAAACGAGGAGTTACGTCTTGCAACGTGAACATTTCTTTGCGCAGTTCGTATTGAAAGCCACAAGGGTGTTCACTTCTGTCAATACATTACGATATAGCTGTGCTTATCAAACTTTGGGATAGTTTTTGTCCAAACCTTCACTCTGCAATTCTTTCCCTTGTATCTCTTGACGCGTTTGCCTGCCCAGTGCCCTTCGAAACTGCGCAAACTTATGGCTGCTGTCTGGGCATTTTTGCATCATCTAGGGATATCCACGGCATCACAGCCAGGGTCAAGCTTCTTCAGCAGATTTACAACTTTCAAAAACCCTTCTTCCATGTGCACAGTACTGGACATTCTCCGTTGTTGCATATGACATTCGGTACAGCAAACCAGGCCCAGTTATAATGAAATAGGAGCTATCGCGCGTAACTCAGTCTCGAAATAGAGAACTAGTATTAAGATGTTTACCTATCGTGCGTAACTATAACATGAAAATACAATGAGTTATGCACAAACACAGATAGGAAAGAAATGGTATCACCTCAGTCTCGAAATAGAGAACTGAGGGAGGGAGAAAAATTACGGCGTCCAGCGTAACTTATACGACTGGAGCCAATATCGCTTAAAGCGATTGTCAGTGACAACTGGCGATATAAGACAAAGTAAATTGGGAGCGCGTGGTACTGCGACTCTGAAACAAAAAGGTATAGTCGTTGTTAGTCACGACGATATTAAGTTAAAATAAAGACTCCCCAATCCACGCTGCAGCTCGGCTGTTGTCGATGAGCGTTGATATTCCAACACGCCCACCCAACGATCATGACCATCGATAATTCCCATACCTCTGGTGAACTTGTCGTGTTTAGCCAGCGCAAGTCCTTTAGTAAGAATGTCGGCCACCTGATCGGCCATCGGGACGTAATCGAGCTCTACGTCTCCATTGTCGACGCATTCTCGAATGAAATGTTGTCTGACGCGAATGTGTTTAGTCCGCGCATGGAAGGTGGGATTAGCGGCAAGGGCAAGAGCACCCTGATTGTCGCTGAGGATGGTGTGAGGAATAGAAGGGGGTTTGAGGATGTCGCCAAGAAATTGCTGAACCCAAATGGCTTCCTTAGATGCGTGAGTCAATGCCATGTATTCACCTTCTGTGCTGGAAAGAGCCGTTGACGATTGTTTCTTTGAACTCCAAGAGACGGCAGCGCCGGCAATCTTGAACACAAAGCCGGAAATGGATCGATGATCGCGCGAGTCACCCGCCCAATCGGAGTCGGAATAGCCTGTAAAATCATCATCGGGAACTTTACCGTTATAGACTAGCTTGTAGTTCCGTGAATAATTCAAGTATCTGAATACACGATTAACGGCGGCGAGATGTTCCTTCCCAGGATTGGCGGAGTATTGGCTCAGCGTGCCCACTGAATACGCAATATCAGGACATGTACCGAGCATCGCATACATGATGCTACCGATTCGGGATTGATAATCGCGTACATTGACTTCAGGGGCATCGAGACGGGGTAGTTTGAAGTTGGATGCGATGGGAGTGGAAATCGGACGAGAGTCAGCAAAACCAAAACGTGAGAGAATGTCTTTTACGTAGCGGGTCTGGGATATTGAGATTAGGCGCTGGGATCGATCGCGTGTGATCTCAAGTCCTAAAAACCAATGAATGTCCCCGAGATCCTTCATCTTGAAGGCCATCATGAGTTGAGACTTCTTGGCGTTAAGAACCTTGACATCGTTGGATAAGATCATCAGATCATCGACGTATAGCGCGATAATGCAGAGGACATGTCCCTTCCCACGATGGATGAACATGGCATGATCCGAATCACACCGGAGAAAGCCGAGTTTCGCGAATTCTTTCTTAGCCTTCTTGTACCATTCCCGCGAGGCCTGCTTCAAACCGTACAGGCTCCTCTCTAACTTCCATACCACATTCTCCTTCCCATAGTCCGCGCTCCCCGCTGGTGGATCCATGTAGATAGTATGTTGGAGATCGCCATTCAAAAAGGCGGTCTTCACATCCATTTGGTGGACCTCGAGATCAAGTCGCGCGGCGATGGCGAGTAGGATCCGGATAGAGACCCATTTGACCACAGGTGCGAAAGTTTCATCATAGTCAACTTGAAAGATTTGACCAAAACCTTTAGCAACAATCCTTGCCTTGTAACGTTCAACGGAGCTGTCCGCTCCCTTCTTCAAGGCGAATACCCAACGACAACCGACGACATTTCGAACATCAACTTCGTCAGTACTAACCGGAACATAGGTCCGGGTTTCCTTCAAGGACAATAGTTCGTCTTGGCAAGCTTCGAGCCAGGCGTCAGAGTCGGGGCGGTTCATGGCGCTTTTGTAGGTGAGTGGAATATCGGATTGGGCGACGTAGGCGTGGGATTCGCCCACTGGTTGGGTGTCTGTGGAATGGGGCTGATTGGATCGGCTATAGGAACTCACGAAATATCGATTGTCATCATCTCTCGTGCACGCGCGTCGTTCACGTCTTGATCGTCGCGGTCCCTCCGGTACGGATTCTTCCCCGACATCTC